GTGCAAGAAAAGAAACTGTTAGCAAAGACATTACGGTAAGCTTGGATCATCGTGCCTGCAAAAAAAAACGGTAATTCAAAACGACGGTTTTCTCCGCTATTATTTTAAGTACCTTCACTCTTCGGTAATGTTTATTGTTTTAAAAAGAGATGATTAGAATTGTAATAAAACTTAAACATATGAAAGTCGATTTATGCATTTTCTTTTATCTTGAGAACTGACAACGAAAATAAGAAACACTATTTATTTATTATATTGTTTATTGGAAAGGTTGGTAAAAATTGTGTAATTGCTGATTGATTCGAACTTTATAAAATGGTAAATAATAAGAATTTCCACACAGTTGTTTGACATATTTTACTAATTTAATAAATGTTTATTAATTTATTAATAAAAAGTTGTTTTTATATTTATTTCTTAATAAATTGGTAAATGATAAATATTTCATTGCATTAATTTTTTTAATTGTGTTTGTTTTTAGAACTTTGTAAAAATAAAAAATATTCTTGTAAATAAACTATCTAATAAATAAATAGTGTTTAATTATTTTTTGTGAATTCTCAAAAATAAAAATGTATAAATACACTTTTATCGTATGTTTAGATTTTTATACAATTTTAGTCATCGGTTTTTTAAAATAACTAACGTTGCCGAGGATGAAAGGTACTTAAAATAATTGCGGTGTCAAGTGAATAAAACATCCTTTTTGCGGGCACGGAGGTCCAAGTTTACTGAACTTACGGTTACAGCTAGCCAATTCAACTTTAAAACGATGAGACCTTGTTGTCAGTCTAGTACTGTACTTAAATTCATAAAGTCTAGATATCATAATGCATAGCTCATGTGAACAATTTCCATGAAAGTATTTATAGACGAGTCACAGAGGAACTACATTATGATGAAAAGAAATAACTGATTTCATTCAATTCATACAATTGTTGGGAAAAAAGAATGCACTGTGCTGTACAGTATATAAACTTGTAAATAATATTGTAGCTATCAGGTTAGGAGGAGTCGATTGAATTTGAGAAGGCGGCGTGTGTTGAACAAAAACTAGTCTTTGATTGTTTTGTGAAGTACGGTGGCCGTTAATGATTAAACATAACTCAAGACTCCAATGTTAAAATAAAACAGTATTTAATTACAACCGTAAATAAATACTAAACAAGAACAAAGAAGTAAAAATCAACCAAAGATAATTAACCATTTCAGTGAATAACTTGTTAGTTGCGCGGCTCGACTTAACCTCCGGTAAATCCTAAATTAAAACACAAATCATCGACGCACATAATTCACACTAATTCGACTGGATAGTTCCGCTCCATAATCACTGCAGTCAGTAGTCTGACACCACTATTTATACACCTGGCGGAAAACATATATTAATAAGTCCACAGTGTCACACTCGAACCTCGATGTCGGTAGTTACTCATTTTCTTCCTATATGAGAGATTGTTTTAGAAAAAATAGACAAACAAAAGATTAAAAAGAAAATAGATAAAAAATATTTACTCTATCGGGTACATCTTTCGTGTAAAGAAAATTTCAAGGAGTTAAGAGTCTCTGAAAAGATTGAATGTAGAAGTTAAACTTACTCTACTGGTCAATTAGAGATTGAGTGCTGTGTATAGTATAAGCCAGTTTTTCTCAATCTTTTCCTCTTTGTAGCACATTTTTCGAGTCAAAACCTCCCAGGCCCACATACGCACAAATAGAAATTCCATGCAACAGGAAATACATTTTACTGGCAAAAGCAAAATGAAGTATAAAATATAACACCGCTCCTGATGTCTATCAGCTTGTCAAGTTGAACTTGCAAGCTTTCGTCCAGGTTCTCTTTTCAATCTGTAATTCCAGACACATTTTAATAAAATATCACGTCTACATGTGGGTCAAAGGTTCCACGTTGAGAATCACTGGTCTAAGCCATCTGAGTCTACTGCACGGGTACTAACCTCTTCGAATTCTGTCGCAGACGTGTTAGGGCCAGAAATAGACAGACAGAAAGGAATTGAGTTAAACAAATATATTAACAGAAACAGTAATGCAAACATACAAACGAGAGTCTTACAGGAAGAATGTTCGGTCCGACAGTCTCTACTGATACCAGATAAAGAATACAAGTCTCAAACAGTATCAAAACACTAATGGTACTAACCAATACAGAAACACAGCCGTCTCCAGCGATATATGCCATAGCATGGACAGAATCAAAGAGACCTATTCCCAGCGGTATCCTGACAGTTAATCATAGAAAACCAGTGGGTGCAGCTTTAACTGGAAAAGAAAGAAAAAACATATTTATCAAATATTATCAAAATATGGCGGCCCTGACTGAAATATTAATAAATTCATCCTTGCATATCCCTTTTTACTTTATTCCAGCAAATCAAAATGTATTACTTTCACTGCATGACGCAAAGATTGAACTTCCGACCGGCAGTTAACTAGATGCGATTATTCAGAGACTTTTTCCACGTCCTTCCCACAATGCCGTATATTTAATTTAATTTCCGTTCCATTCAACAATAGCCTGAAATAGGAAAACGTATTTAACTGTCGTAAGCTAGCACTAGTAAAAATATGTTATAACATTAATCAACCACAGATAAATAAAGACACTCACACATATACACACATATATATAATTGTGTATTTGGGCAGCAAGCAGTCCCTCTTTTATACAAGTTTCGTTAAAGACGACTCATAAAGTACAACGTTTATGTTTTTATTTAATTTTTCTTGTGATCGTATAATTTTGTTTCTTTTCTGGACATAAAACATATAGAAATTGTCCGAAGGAATCTGTAGTATTGTATGCAAATGAGGTACTGCTATAAAAACAGCACCCCACAGAGAATGCTTCTCGAGCTACCATCTGTTGACCTGACAACGTCTATTCCAGAGAGTACTCGACTTTATAACTGTATCCTTAACAATAAAAAGAAAAAGCCAAAAATCAATAACATCAACTATGAACATGGCCACAATGTGCTGACCGTGTTTGTAAAATAAAAACTTGCCTATAACTTTAGATAGATAGATAGGTAAATATAAACATACATTGAGTTAAATATAAAAAAAAAATCATCTTTGATAATGGCTGAAAGAATACCGAAAGCGCTTGGACATACAGAACATTTGGACAATTTCTACATACTTTATGTTATGTTCAGAAAGAAAAATATATAAGACCACAAGAAAATTAAATAATAAAGCTAACGGGAGTACCATGCCAGTCACTTTTAACGAGTCTTGAATATATATATATATATATATATATATATATATATATATATATATATATATATATATATATATACTTTACTGATTTTCTTACACTATAGTGTAGTTATATGTACTTGTAAATGATCAGTCGCTCGTATTACTGTCTATATTTACAAGTACATATAAAAACACTATAGTGTAAGAAAAAAGAGTACTCAATGTTAAGTAACAAAAGTATTTAATATATATATATTAAGAAATATAAATAATATCTTACATTAATTGCACAACTCTGATTTTTATGCGGAAGCAATTTTCAAATGCTGGAATTATCATATTTATCTTTATTTATGTTTTGGGTCAACACCGGTTTTTTAAAAATATTTTCTGGTTCGCGCTATATTATTGTTGGGGTGGAATATTATTGGAGTTACAATATTAAAATGAATTGGAGTTTAATTTTAAATTTGAATTCAAGTTCAGATTAACATTTTAAAATAATGTTGGAAATAATAAATGCAAATTCTAACTTAGGGAAACGCTAATTTTGAAAACGTAAGTAAACAAAAAAGGGACGTTGGGATATCAAAGGAGATAACTTTATTTTTCTAAAAATTAAGAATGTTATTGATAATAATATTACTAAAAACTAATGATATCAAGAACGAAGTATGCCATGATAATATATATATAGAGAGAGAGAGACAGAGACAGAGAGTCATCCACAGACAGACTGTTTCGCTGTATCACAGCTCATCAGTGTGGCTAGACGTCCGGTTACCTCTAACTAGGATCGAAACCCGACTAAATTGTCGTCAGTCGAGGGATTCTACCATTAACATGAAAGTGAATTTAAGCGTATTTATTTTTAGATAAACACACAGTGAGTAAGAAAAATCGATTCGATTTACGGAAGAGTTTTGCATTATTAGTCGTAATAGTCACTCTCTACAAACCCACATTTCTTCCCCAGAGCTTAACTGAAATATATATATATATATATATATATATATATATATATATATATATATATATATACTCTCTTCGGCAGGAATGGGATGTACTTGTCAAAAAAATTTTTTTGTATCTCCTTGAGGCATGGACTTCCAGGAATCTCTTCAATTAGTCTACTGCAATCTTTTCCAACCAGTCCTAGGGCTCCAACTACAACAGGGATTGTTGATGTTCCGATATGCCACATTTTTGAGATTTTTATTTCAAGGTCCTTGTATTTTGACAGCTTTTTGAATATCTTCAAAGATACATTGCAGTATTATTATCAGAAGAGTCGTTCAAAAGGTAATGTTTGTTCTTTAATTACAACAGATTTGATAGTATAAGCAAACAAAGCCTCCCAATGGATGTAAACGGTTTATGGTTTAAAATCTTGTGCTCGACTAATTCATTATCAGTCGCGATACGAGGATCGCTCAATTAGAGATGTCAGTTCTTTAATTACAACAGCTTTAATAGTAGAAGCATGCAACGCATACAATGATAAAAATAAAAGTCTTCTGGTTACAATTCTAGTGTTCAGCATAGTATCCTTCATTCACCATCGTGTTACGAGGATTGTTTTTAAAAAAAACAAACTCGTAATGATCGTGCTCCTTTTAAATAAAACAGATTGAACAGAAGAAGCACATGAAGCCTAATAAAATAAACACTAAATTTCAAGCAATCTTAATTTTATCCTCAACATTACTTTCTTTATCAGTCGTGGTATTATATCCTTTGAATGAGGACATGTTTCTCTAAGTCGTAAGAGGCTCACGGCCATATCATGTTGAAACACAGGTTCCCGTACGGTCACCGAAGTTAAGCAACGTCGAGCCAGTACCTAGATGGGTGACTACTTGGGAATACCAGGTGCTGTAAGTTTGGATTCGCGAGTGGTGAAATGGATAATCGGAACCGTTAATTGGAGAGCCGATTTACAATTCCCGTTGCGTTCAAATATATGCATCCATCACTTCTCCCCCAGTTATGGGTTAATTAGTAATACTTGTATCACTAAAATACTATTATCTAAAAAAAAACTTCTTGCAATCTCAAAATATTTTCAGGCTTTAAATAACCAGCAAAGGTTGATAAGCCAAAGAAAACGAATTAATCAAACTACGACTACGACTATTATTATTGTTGGGCAATATTGTTAAGCAGTCCACCAACAGAATACAACTGGTATACAGATATACTAATCCTAATATAACTATCATGACCCCCAGTTTAATAAAAGTATACCAAACATATGAACTTTAGCCAAATGGTGACTGGCTTTACTAAAAGTAATGTATATCCTTGCAGACTACACTTAACTTTGTAAGTCGCTACTTAAATTTCAGTACTTACTTTGCTTAACAAAATATTTACGTTGACTATTGCTCCTCTAGTGAGTTAGATCCTTACTGTCACTTTACTTATGTCCTTATGCCATACTTAGTAACAGCCTATGAACGGAAATGTGAGTGTTACTGTTCAAGGGGGTTTTTTTTTCAGCTCGTTAATTATTAGTTCGACTCTGTCCATTTTGAAATAAGTGTCCTTGAACCAGACTTATTTACATTCATGATTGTAAGAAAGTGTAGTTTGGGAGATATATTGTGTTGGTGTCTGCTGATATTTTGATAAAATCGCCGTTTCTGTCTTCTTGTGGACTCGTAAGACTCGTATTTGGTTTACTAAAGGTTATTTATATCCAAAATGGTACGTCGATAAATTGGAATCTGAAAAGGCAGTTGGAAACGAATGAATAGATTTAGAGAGCAGGATGTATGGGGGTGACTGGGTGCAAGCCAGGTGGACAATATTACAGAATGGAAAGAATGAAAATGAGGGAAATAAACTAAAAGAGATGGTTAAGAGAGTGGGGAAAGAAAGAAAGAAAGAAACAAACAAACAAACAAACAAATGGAGAAAAAAGTAAATATGGTAGATAATGAAATGTGGGGAGACAGAAGAGAGAAAGAAGAAAGGCGAGACAAAATCAATAAAGAAAAAGAAAGAAAACTGAATCAATAAACAAAGAGAAAAAGAAAAAAGAAAAAACTGAAAGAATAAAATGGCAAAAGAAAGAAAAGGGAAAAAAAGAAAAGACTCAAAGAATAGGAAACAATTGAAAGAAAAAGAAAGAAAAACTAACAAAAAGAAATGAAAAGAAATAAGGAAAAAGACCGACAAGAAAAGGAAAAACCGAAAAAAGAAAGAAAATTACAAACAAAACCAATAATAATAATAATAATAATAATAATAATCAATGTATAATATCAATAACAATTTTGATTTGAAAGTGGGAAATTTCATTAATAGCCAACCAAAATAATTGTATAACCAAACAATGACAAATAAAAAAAATAAATAAGGAAAAAAACGACAAAAAAAAAATCAGAAACTTAAACAAAGAAAGAAACGTAAATAAATACTGTGAAAAAGAACGAACGAAAGATTAACGGAAAGTAAGGTCGGAAAAGAAATAATCAAGAAGAAAAAAGAAAAAAAAAGAAAAGATTTACTGAAAGAACAACGGTAGAAGAAATAATAATAAAAAAACAAGAAAAGAAAGAAAAAAAATTACCAAAAAATCAACAAATAACAAATAAAACCAGAATTAGAAAGAAAATCAAAGAATCTAAAAAATAAGAGATATGGTGCCAAACGAAGGTAAATAAAAAATGCTTGTAAACAAAACAAAACAAAAAATATTAACAAAACGAAAATCCTGTAGTAAACGAATGAAGAAAAAAAATAAATGCTGAAATCCGGTGGAGTTATTTTTGAAATGGTAAATGACCGTATTCTTCGAAAAACAAAATATTTGGTCGCTTGGTCGAATCCAATTCACAACCGTCCATGTATGCATCCGACGGCCATAATGTCCAATTAAGAAGGAATCGGTAAACCATTTTGTCTTTCAGTCTTTCTTTTCTTTTCTTTGTTGACTTCACCATGTTTTTTTTTTCTTCAAAATGTAATAATCCCCCAAGGAATTTACTAAGTTTATCAGCGTTTTTCAGAAAAAAGATTGGTAAGGAAGATCGTTTTGCGCCAGGTATGTAAGTTATAAACACTGACTTTAAAAGCAACATTCTCTTATTCTAGAGTAATCCTAGTTTTATGTAGGTTGGAGAAATTAAAATATTATACATATACCCCAATGGCAATAGAAAAAATATACCTATATGGCAATAATCCTTGTTTTATGTAGGTTGGAGAAATTATAAATATACCTCAATGGCAATAAAAATAAATATACATCAATGCCAATAATCCTAGTTTTATATAGGTTGGAGAAATATTATATATTATATTATAAATATAACTCAATGGCAATAAAAATAAATATACATCAATGCCAATAATCCTAGTTTTATATAGGTTGGAGAAATATTATATATTATATTATAAATATAACTCAATGGCAATAAAAAATAAATATACATCAATGCCAATAATCCTAGTTTTATATAGGTTGGAGAAATATTATATATTATATTATAAATATAACTCAATGGCAATAAAAATAAATATACATCAATGCCAATAATCCTAGTTTTATATAGGTTGGAGAAATATTATATATTATATTATAAATATAACTCAATGGCAATAAAAATAAATATACATCAATGCCAATAATCCTAGTTTTATATAGGTTGGAGAAATATTATATATTATATTATAAATATAACTCAATGGCAATAAAATAAATATACATCAATGCCAATAATCCTAGTTTTATATAGGTTGGAGAAATATTATATATTATATTATAAATATAACTCAATGGCAATAAAATAAATATACATCAATGCCAATAATTCTAGTTTTATATAGGTTGGCGAAATATTATATATTATATTATAAATATAACTCAATGGCAATAAAAATAAATATACATCAATGCCAATAATCCTAGTTTTATATAGGTTGGAGAAATATATATATATTATAAATATACCTCAATGGCAATAAAATGAATATACATCAATGCCAATAATCCTAGTTTTATGTAGGTTGGAGAAATATTATATATTATATTATAAATATACCTCAATGGCAATAAATTAGATATACCGCACTGCCAATAATCCTAGTTTTATGTAGGTTGGAGAAATTAAAATATTATAAAGCCATTGAGGGAGACTGAGTTACCAAAGCAAGTTCAGCAAACCTACATCTATCGCAATATGTTATCTTTCAAATATAACTAATATTTGTATATATGTTAAGGCCATCATAAAGATTGAAGAAGCTTATAATTTTACTCTCTATAATACGAGGCTAAAATATTTTACCACTTTCTTTCCGTTGTCCTCTAAGCCTTGATAACTGATAACATCCATGACTGGGTCAACATTTACTTCGGTCATCAGGTCGATCCAATGTAGCTCACTATAAATCATTAATATTATGTTTGATGGGTCAGTTTTTGATGATGCAATAATTCAGAACGTGTAAGAGCCTTGCCTTACGAGAATATACACTTTAGCATAAAAGCTTCTTGGTTGTGATTCACAAATTTCAAAAATGTTTCGTCCAACGACTTACAATAATTGTCTGCATTTACCTTAATGCCATCGTCAACTTTGAAGTCCCATATATCACTGACTACAATACTGGACAAAAATATTACACCACAGTCCAGTGTCGTTTTCTAAGTTGTTTATATTTATCGTATTCTAAGGAATAATCTCTATGACGCATTTAAACTACATCTGGCAGCAAGGCTTCTGATTGGGAGATTGGAGGTTTTGAGGAGCGTTGAAACACTTCTTAATTCCTGTTGTCACCAGGTTCACCCTGACCCGAGGTGGTAGCACCGGTTAGGGCCCCAACTATGAACAAACAGTGAACCCTCAAACAAAAGCAAAACATTATAAAAGTATAAAAATTCAAGCAATATATTTCTCTATAAAAATATTACCAAAAATACCTAGTTATAATAAAATGACCAATACACTTTATCTGTAGTTAAAGGCAAACAACTGCGCTAAAAATATTTAGATTTCGGCATTAAATAACCCATAGAGGTTGATATGCCATTAAACAAAACCAACCAAGCAACCATGTTGCATTATAAAATCCATATTACAAAATGTAGTACTGTAAATAATTTGACTTTCCTTGATGGCAAGCTTGTGTTCAGGGCGGCTAGTGGAGGATTAATTTCCTGAAATAATTTCGCAAAATAATATGAATTTATTCTACGAGTGTTATTGTTACCACATAACCCAATACTATTTATTTATGGTCAGGTTATTGACAGCTAAACAGGTTCCCCCACCAGTCTTTTCTGATAAGGAGGTTGGCTTAACACCCAACAGGATTAAAAAATGCTTTCTTGTGGGATCAACCGCAATCAACTCTAATGGAGAAGACTGGTATCCATAGCCATGTATGCAGTTCGTGAGTTGATGACACGGCATCGATGGGCAGAGAGCTCTCTAAAATCACGTTAACAATCATGGTGGAGGGTTTCCTTTGTCCTCTGTAACAAATAGGCGAATCTTCAACTTGGAGAACATTGGTTGCGGTTTGACCAGAAGCGGGATGGACTTGCCAATGACGCGCTGACCATGTATAAATGATTCTCCGGCTTTCAAAATAGATATGTGGCGAGAAACGGTCAGGTTCTCAGATGCGCAATGACCCTACAACCACACTCGTTCGCGAGACTGATGATGAATAAATAATAATTCCGTTTGACATCTATTTTGCATTACACATATTTATGCAAGCACACACGCATACACACAGACCGCTGACTGAGAAAAACAAAAGGAGGATCCTGTCTACGCATGCGCATTAACATCTCATATGATAGACTGCCAACTTCCATGGTATTCGCTCTACCACTTCTCAAAATGGCAGGATGTTTATCTGACAGACCTTCTATATCAGTGGTACCGATCTGCATCATTACTAGAAAAAGAAATGAGAACAAATAAGTTTTAATGTTATATTTATAAAAAGAAAAGATAAATATTCTAGCAGTACATGACTGTATCTAGACCTAATAAAAACTTATCCATAATATTTGCTTGTGTTTGAAGGAGAAAGAAAAGATAACTCAAAAACAACATGTAGTTATACTATACTTATCCTTGTACGTCACATTATGGAAAACAAAGTTAGACTAGTCTAAGACAATCTTTCAAGAGGGGGTGAGCTATGTCTGCTTAGAAAATCAGCATTCGAAATATTGGCTTTTTACGTTGGGCTCGTTTCCAGTTCTCTGACACAGTTGGCTATTGGTTCTCACTCTGGCCAGAACAAAATGACCGCAAACTACATGAAAACTGCCGTAGAACCATGGAAAAATCTATTATTTCCACTATCGATGGGAGTTGGGAAATGCACAGTCGGTCTTGGCCTTCCCGTTAACTTAGAGCATGTGCATGTAAATTTTGGTGCAAATCCATCGAAAATTGCGGCCGTGCATTCGTTACACACACACACACACACACACACACACACACACACACACACATCCTGCCTTTTATAGATAGAAATACCGTCTCCCTTCAGGCGATCATGGCTCTCCACAGAATGTTTTTCTTTATTATCTGTGAATTGCCTTGGTTTCTTGGCAAGGACAGTAAAATGGCTTCCTGTTGCCTTTTCCACAGATCTGTATTCAAAGTAATCCTTTTTCTAGATTGGCTGCCCCCACCCCCCACCCCCTGAGTCTACAAAACACGATCTGCACTTCTATTTAACTCATAATGGTGACAGAGAAACGGGGCCATGTCTTTTCCACAAGTATTAGTGCGAAAGGGAGCATAACAGACGCGGTCAGTTAACATTCTGCGTTGATAACCATTACACTATTCGTACATACAAATAATAATAATAATAATAATAATGTGAATTCATAAAAGAAAGCAAATGCATATGGTCACACTTAAATTAGTTTATTAAGTCTATTTTTCTGTATTTAAGTATTTTTCTGGGACGTTTCTTTAAGATTCGTTTAAATCTGACTTCTTTTGCTAGTGTGAATATGAAATTACCTCAAGCACATTAACAAACCCCTATCTATCTACCTATCTATCTTAATCTATTCATTATATATATAAGGATCTATCTTAGTCTATTCGTTTTCCATTATCTTAGTCTATAATTTATCTATCTAGCTATCTGTCTATCTATCTCAGTCTGACCATACCTATTTCGAACAATCTGTTCATATCTATTTATCCATGTTAATTTGTTCAACTGTATCCATCTATCTATCTATCTATCTTAATATATATATATATATATATATATATATATATATATATATATATATATATATATAAGGATCTAACTGGAAAGGTTGTTGGCTCTAGCTATCTGTGTTTGGTTGCATCTATTTATCTGTGTACCTGTCTGTTGGTCTCTCTCTGTGTCTAAGTTTCTTCATATTTGACCTGATATGACATTTAGCCATCATTTGTCGTAAGAATCACTGAAAAACCCTTTGATTTACTCAGCGAGAAAGAGAACAGGTTTAAATCGTTTTGTGTCAGGCCCACAGGCCTTCCGTAATGGTTCCAACATTCATACTCTGGCTTCCATCTTCAAAGTCCATTCAAGAACCATCAAGAGAACGGTGAATATATTATTTTTAAAAAGAAGGAACCGTAAAAAATGGCTGTTTCGAATTCAGAATGTTCCTTCTCATACAATGGTTTCAAACTAAGTCTCTAAGGCATAGTGTGACCTGTTATATCCTGGGGTGGGGAAAAGAGATGGATTCATACCATTCACACTAGTATTTGGGCGCAACTGAAAGTAACGAATTCGATCTTGGCTCTCCGAATTCTCATTCTGAACCGCTAGCCACGTACAGTCCTCTAAATTATATGTGTTGCTCTCCACTTTCTGTTGCAGTTAAAGGTTCTCTCTTTATCTTTCGTTTTCAATTTTATCGCCGACCAACATCTATACTCTTTTCGAAAAGAAAAGTAAAGTTATAGGCCACCAGCCGGGCAGGAATTAATATCGTCTCATTGGAGCCAACTTCCCGTCGAATCATAGAGAATAATGTTAGTGGGGCGAAAAATGAGCGCTGCTTGAACTTTCCTCCCTCACTTATAGCACAATGAGAAAATAATGAGTAAAGACTAAAAACGAGTCGATGGAAGAATGAAGATTTCCTGTTTGAGGCAGAATTGGAAATCATTGGCAGAAAAGTTAACGGAAGCTGATCGAATTCTGGTCAAAGACAGTTCGACATAATCAGGCAGTATGCAATGCCCCAAATAGACGCCTGCTAAATGAGTATATTTTTAGAATGGAACCCATTTGGTCGATTATAAAAATATAGTCATGTCTATATTACATAAATAAAGAGGATCGAGTAAAACAAAGACGTTAATGTGCGAATCTTTCAACTGAAAGGAAGATAAAGATGCGAATGGCCTCGAAATCAATAGAAGCATCATTGCCTGTTTATCCATTTATCTATTCAGCTAAGGAGATAGATGAACAGATGTGAACAGAATTCAGGGCATAGGTGATCATGACTATCCATAGATACATTTTCTTTATTATTATTATTATTATCTTTGAACTGCAATGATCCTTAGGAAAGATAGATAAATGGTTTTCCGTTGCCTTCAGTGGCGTTTAGAAATCGGAATTTGTCCTAGACTGGCAGCCACTCAAGGCTAGAAAGCCCAGTCTACCATGATATGTGAACGATAGCTGGGTGTGGAGAGAGAAGAGTCGGCCCATGCTTTTCACAAAGACATACTGTTAAAGTGAAAGGAACAGTCTAGATAGATAGATAGATAGATAGATAGATAGATAGATAGATAGATAGATAGATAGATAGATAATCATCAGAACAGATCTGACTCGACAGTAAAAATTACAACCAGAATCAATTAGAGACGAAAGGTTGTTTGGGCTCATTGAAAATGGGTGATATTAAGAGTTTACAGAGTTTTAGAGAAAATTAAAACGAAAAAGATACATATATATAACATCAAAAAAGAAAGTTGACATTTAGAGACTACATAATAAGGAAAGAGGTTTAGAAAAATTGACACTCACAGGACAGGCAAAGGACAAAAGAAAAGAGCACTTAACGAGTGCGAATGTTTCACAGGACAGGGATTAGGATAGATAGCCAAAAGACAAAGTTTACTAAGAGCTAAAAAGGACAGGAAATTGTGGAGAGCTATGATCACCCACGTTCTGAAAGGACACGGTACATAGAAGAAGAAGAAGAAGAAGAAGAAGAAGAAGAAGAAGAAGAAGCTTGTGTGGATAGTTGGTAGACAGGGGTTAGTAGACTTAGTCAAAAAGCAAACTTTACTAAGAGCTAGAAAAGAACAAGACATTATGGAGAGCCATGATCACCCACACCCTGAAAGGACAATGAAGAAGAAGAAGAAGAAGAAGAAGAAGAAGCTTGTGTGGGTGGTAGGCATACAGGGATTAGTAGACTTAGTCAAAAGGCAAACTTTACTGAGAGCTAGAAAAGCACAGGACATTATGGAGAGCCATAATGATTCACGTCCTGAAAGGACACAGAACATAGAATAATGATAATAATAATACAAAAAGGAAGAAACAAGAGAAGAACTGAAACTACCCAGAAATGTCTGACAGAATTCAAAAAACGCATAAGAATACAGAAATATGTTTTACAGAAACTAAGTAAAGTATTAAGTCATTGAAAACTGTTGTGTGGCACCTTGCATTATTAGAAATATTCCTAGAAATATGATTTAATTTTTTCTTACTCAGTTTATTAAACAGGTTGTTAATTTTTTTTTTAAAAACGGAAAATAACTGAGTTGAAAATAATTCACTAAGAGTGTACTAGACGATCCTAAGGAAAGAAGAAGGAAAGAAAGGAAAAAGGAAGGAAGGGAAGAAAAAGAAAGAAAGAGAAATGTATGACGCATGACCCAATTGAGGGTGGAGATAGGAGTCAGAAAGAGATTTAGGTCAGCGTCTTGGCCGATTTTCGAAAGTCATTTTGGTAAGAATTTCGGTCAGAGCACCTGGCCTACTTTGCATGGAAAGACACCTTATCAATTTGGATAAAGAGAAATTTTGTAGAACAATAGAAATGAAATTTTTAATCAGAGAAAAAGTGTCTTTGGGTTGAGGGGAGTGACCGGTGGAACGATATACAGATATCCTGTTAAGAATTGGACACCCACGTTAATAAAGTGGAGACATTTTCAAAGTGGATAATTAAGATTTTCGACTATCAGGTAAAACAAAAGAGGTAAAAAGAGGGACAATTGCTTTTGGCTCACAGAGGGCGCCAAGAAGGCGGAAAGATCCTTTCTAAAGTCAAGACTAATTAGCAGCGGGCTGTTTAACAAAGTCCAGGTGAGAGAAAGCCAAAAGATTGTCATTTTGCGTACGTGCAAAAAGGGGCAAAATTGGATTTTGTTTTTTTAAACAAGAACGATGTAACCACGCCCGCAAACAGAGGGAGAGGATGTTCGATCAATAACAATTGGTCGAATACGATCACGTGACCTGCGGAAGAAAAGGGAAAGAAATGCTCGATCAGGAACGATTGGTTGAAAAGCGGTCACCTGACATACGAGAGACTAAGAGAGATGGATGTGCGCCGCCCCACCAAAGGCACTATGAGGAAGTAGGGGCGAAAACAATAGCGATAATGGAGAAGACAGAATTAATGCAGTTTTGGAATTATCGAGAAAACCCTGACGCCGACAGACCCACCCCAGTTTGTTGCGGCGTCAATAAAAGCAGGACCCCAGTCGATAGAAATCAGTTGGAGTGGAGTTGCAGTTAAAGTTCATCCCCGGACGGCAGCGAGAAAAGAACCCTCAGACAAGAAGAACTTCCAGCCCAAGTAGATGAAGAAGAAGATTGCCTGAAAGCCCTGAGAAGAATTGGAGCTGCAGACAAGCCGAAAGTCGATGAGAAGTTAAAGTTCAGCTCCGGACGGCAGTGAGAAGAGACCACCTCAGACGACAGAGAGTTGCGGCTAAGTTGAAACAAGAAATCTTCCACCAAGTTGAAACAGGAAAACTACCAGCCCAAGCAGACGAAGAAGAAGAAATACAACTCAAGTCGGAGAGAAGAATCAACTGCGAATGATCGATAGAAATTAGCCCCAGTGTCGAACTGAACCACTCCGACATACATACATGATTCTAGAAAGTAGGTAATTCGACATTTTTTCTATTGTGTGATAGAAGCTTGGTGCCATAGTCCACAGAGCGGGTCGGGAAATGAGAACACTTTTGTTTTTATGTAACGGACTTTAAGATATAAAAGGTTGTTACCCTTTTATCAACAATTTTGTTTGGTGTCGTGAGTTTTTATTTTATTTGTGTTTTGCCACCCCGTCGGACTCAACTTGTATCGGCCCCGATCCCTGCTGGTCCCGTCTGTCTAAGATCTAAACACAGCGTGGGTAGACAGACCGGAGATCGGTATAGTTGCTTTAGTGACCAGGTATTGGAAGCGAGTCGGGGAAAGGCGAGGCTGGTGATCATCTGACCAAAGGGTTGGGCGGCACGCTTGGACCCAGGAGGAGCGACCAGGAGGAGCGACGTCACCGTTGGCGCCGTAACCAAAGGATCCGACACTGGGCCAGGTGTGTAACCGTCACAAGTGGTGCTGTGACCAACGGATCAACCCTGAGACAACCACGTCACGTATGGTGCCGTGGTGACCGAGGGATTTCAACCCTGAGAAGACCACGATCGACCGCCGTTGCTGAAAGTTCAAGCAGAAATCAGAACGACCGGGACCAAAGGAAAGAAGGAACAGAATCGTCTGTAAGGTAGGACACCTTGTTTTGTTTCCCAACCTCGATTGTTGCTGTATAGACTGTCTTTCTCTGTAGACATGTCAGATTATGAGTCGGATAGAGCAGTGGGGGGTGAAGAAGAAGTAGGGCAGGGGTTGTCAGTGGATCTAAGTAAGCTGTTGGGTGGACCGAGGGTCCCAGTATTTGATGGCAGCGGGAAGGAGTTTAGGAACTGGCTGGCAATCCTCGAGAAGAGCCGAACCATCTACGAACTCTCGGACCAAGAAACCCTGTATTTGGCATACGATGCCACAAAGGGAAAAGCGTCTGAGTTCGTAAGGGGGCTTGTGGAGAACCAACCCCGCTTGGCTTGGGAAGAAATAGAAAGACAACTGACCAAAGAATTCGCCGACGAAGGTACGGCCATAGAGGCCATGAGGGCCCTTTTAAAACTGACACAGCTACGGGATGAAACCCCGGGAGAATTGGGGGCCCGAGCGGGGAAGCTATCGTCATTGGCATTCCCCGAAGTGGTCAGGGATAATGCGGTTATGCAGGCTCAACTGGCGGACCTGTATGTAGAGGCGCTGAGCGACGAGCGTGTTCGTCACGACGTACTGAAAGAAGGACCGCTCGGACTGTCGGCAGCGATAGAGCTGGCCAGGGAGAGCCAGGGGTGTGGGATAAAGTGAAGAGGTGTGGAAGAAGCAGATACCAAGTCAAGAGGCTGGAGGAAGGGGGGGTAGGCGGAAGAGCCCCCGTGTGTGGAAACAGAGGGTTAAGGAAGAGGTGGATCGGGCAGAATTATGGGAGGAGGACCCCAATAGAAGGGCATGGTCGACCAGGCATGGCTTTTTATAAGCCCACGCCGGGTCGATACGGGCTGGTCTGCTGGACCTGTGGGTACGAGGACCACAGGGCAGCGGAATGTCCGACGAAGTGGGGTTGCCCCAGACTTCAATCAGGACAGATGCACCAGGTGTAAGAAAGGACACCTGGCCAAGTGGTGCGGGCTGAAGAAGGGTGCCCCGCCGATATTAACAAAGAAGGCTGAACCCAAGAGACCGGCCCAGGGAAAAGCCAGCGGGCCACCCCAGAATTAAGAGGGAGGGTGGTCCAGTTAAAAAGAAGAGAAATAAAAGCTTGGACCAGTGAACGGGTGAACAGCTTGAATAGAGGACAGGTTCCCCTGAGGATAGACACAAGGCCAACCCAGAGAAAAAAGGAAAGAGCAAAATGTTGGACATGTGGTCGGGCGGGCCACTTTGCGGCAAGCTGTCCAGCAAGAAGGTGCTGGTTTGCAGGAGGCCAGGACACCTGAAAAGAAACTGTATTCTTAGAAACGGCCATGGGAGACCGGGGGAGGTCCGGCCGGGGTCGCCCAGGTGCAGGGGGCGCAGAACTCCACCTCATGAGAAAAATGAAGGTGATATATTACTACCGGCGCCTATGGCTGGGTTAACCCAAAGGTGGGGACCCAGGAAGAAGAAAGCTCAGGTGTTCTCTTCGCTAACGCAAGAGAGAGAACTATCCTGTAGAGCAGAGATAGGTGGTAGAGAGATGAGGGCTTTGGTGGACACAGGAGCATCTGTGTCATTGATGAGAGAGGAAACATACAGGCGGGTGAAATGGAAGAGAAGGTTACGGGAAGCGGACATAGAGATCACGCAGGCAGATGGAGCCCCCCTGGAGATAAAAGGGATGGTGAGGCTCCCGGTGAGGATTGGGAGGGTGAAAAGCACCCAAAATTTTTACGTAACCCCGACCTGTGTACAGAGGCAATCTTGGGAGAAGATTGGCTCCGGAGCCAGAAGGCCCAGATAGAGTTTAATCCTACTGTGTTGGTGGTGAACGGCGAGAGAACGCCATTGGGATGCCCACCAGAGGAAGAGATAACCATAGTGGTGGAGGAAGATGTAAAGTTACCTCCCTAGGACCGCAGTGTCGGGAAAGGGTAGGCTAATGTCAGAAAAAAGGTACGGAGAGGACCTCTGCAGTTGGTCCCTGTAGAAGGAAAGGGCCTAGAAGATAACGAGGTAACCCTATGCGAAACGGTAGTGGAGGCAGCCGAGTTGGTGCCCATTATGAT